GTTATATGGCAGCGAGTATTGGACATTCTCATCGCAGAGAAGAGATTTGGGGCAGCAGAAATATGGCTGTAGAGAACGATGATAAGAATACCATGGAGTGAATATGGGTATAAAATGTATTCATTAAATACACAAAAATAGAAATGGGCATGAAACAAAGATGTCTTCTCGCTGGACATTCAACGTTTACAGTGAAGCAATCCTAAGAGAATAAGTGGTCCTGTTAGGATTCATTAATGGCAGCCATATTTTTAACAGCACTAGATATACAAATGACACAGAAAGAAATTTAGTAAGACCCTTACAGAATGTAGTGAAGGAAAGCGAGAACAAGGGCTAGACATTAATTGTAATACAGAGGCTATAGTTTTCAGAAAGTGGAACAGACTAGTATAGGAATTACGAAAATGGGGATTTTTTTAATAGAGGACGGAAAATGTTACATTGAAATATGAAGGCACATTCGAATAGCGAAAGGTGCCTTCCTAAAGCTAAGTAAATTATCAAGAAACAGGAAAATTTAGGCGCCACTTAAGTGTGTGTCCTCCCTATCAGTTTCTGTTTTAGTGTGTATTCTACCACCAAATTTGTATCCTACATTATTAAAGCATTGTTCCGAATTTTCTTTCGATATGTTAAAAGACATTCAGAATGATTTTATTTAAAGGATTCAAATGACTAGTTTTATGAATTTTTAGTTAAATTTCTTATTTTGTATATTATTTATATTTAAAATATAATAATACAACAATAAATAGCATTCCTCCATCCGTTTTTGCTTTTTCTCTTTCGTTACAAAATCTAAGAGACAAATGTAGTGGTAGAATACACTGATCAGTAGGACATACGCTAAAACGGCGCCAAAATTTAATTAGAAACAAATCTAAGTGAACTCGACTGCTATGTCATATCAGTCCTCATATATGGAAGTTAATGTTGGACAATGTCATCTCAGATGAGGAAGAGACTTGAGCCAACAGATATATAGTCCAACAGTAGGATACTGAGAATAACAGTAACTGAACATGTTAGTAACGACGATGTTTTAAGGAAAATGGAAAGAAACAGAATAGTTTTATTTAGAATTCAGAAAGAGACTTTTGAAATTTTTGTGACACATAATAAAGAAAGAAGGCTTAAAATATCTGACAGCCACAGTACATAATTAATGCAATTGGAACAGAGGAAAGCAGCGATTAATTTATGTAACGAGCTTTTGGCAGTCAAAATTACTAGATATAACCGGAAGTTCTATTCTAAAAGTTTCTTCTCTCGCACTTCTCGCTAGTGAAAAACTTTTCCAGCTTCTTGCGTTCATGTCAACTAAAATCTTTAAAAATTTAAACCTCGTGTTAATCGCCATTTCTGACTCTTTGAATCCAGTTCTTTCATTTTCCTTTTCCTGCAATAACGTCTTCTTTCTTTCTTTCTTTCACTCTTATATATATATATATATAGTTAAATTCCCAGATAAGTTCTGTGGACAAGACAGATTGGTATAAAATGACAATTGGAAAAAATCTTAGATTTAGTCAGAAGCGTCTGTCTTTTTAAATTTGGATTTTTTAATGTAACTGTAACAACAAAAACACTTCGATTTCATTTTTGCTTTGAAAAAGTCGGAAGACGAAACGCGTCGGCAAAATCTAAGATTTTTTCCAATTGTCCTTTTATACCACATACATATATATATATATATATATATATATATATATATATATATATATATATATGCGTGTGTGTGTGTGTGTGTATGTGTGTATTATGGCTATTATATTTATTTGGAGTTATATATCGATTGTTTATTGTTATTTCTTTCAAGTTTGTCCTCAGTTAATCTGTGTTATTATTTATTTGTTTTTGTACATCTAACTGGAAGATCGTCTATCTTATTTTTACCTTTTTTTTGCTTACCTATAGAGAATAGGCAAAGGCGGGAAAACTGCCGCCTTATAACGAGCTCTTTCGGGTAGATGAAGCTCGGTCGGCTAGGAAAGCAGACCCTTTGGCTTTTGATCATATCCAAACACAGAAAAGTCTGTGGAATTAAATCCAGACAGAAAACCTGGAGTGGAGCCCCGAAGGCGTTTGGCTGTCGACAATGACAACTTTCCGGCAACTCCAATTTAATATCCTCTATGCCTTTGTTTATTGTCGTTACGGCCAAGAGGTGGGGGCACGTAGACGAAGCAGCTCCCGACCTCCAAATCCAATTGCCCAGGCCTGCGCCCTGAACAAGTCACTTTCACTAGCAAAGGGCTGAATTTTGACCTAAAAGAACGCTACCTTTATCTCGCGAGGTAAACTGGTACCCACTATTTTCTCCCATGAAGTATAGGGCCACAGACTCGTCATACTAATTTCTGTTTTACTTTATCAACGATCCGCCCTTTTCTTTTGCTAAGGGGGTGTGAAACCTAAACACCCGGCCCGCTGACTTACCCTTATCTTTTCTAAGTGCCGGCATATGGTAGATTGTAATATGCTTAACATCTTTGCTAATTTCCGATTACTTTGCCATAAAATGCTTTCCACTTATAAACTTAGTACTTCATCAAAGTCTGATTAACAAACTCCCTGTCTGGCATCACCTTCCAATGACGTTTCTCCAGAACAAACCTTTTTGAATCAATTCCCTACATACCTATCAGCTATGACACCTTGACCCATAACATCTACACATTCTTCTTGATCTCTTCGTAACGTTATTTCTTTACTTGAACTCCGATAACATTGCGTTATGTAAATGCTTTCGCAATCCCTTTCATTAGTAGATTTAAGGGATTTATTCTTTAACTTTGACATGATTTCCATAGCAAGTAGGTTTTATTCGGATCGAGTAGTTAACTACACGACGGACCGGTTTGGAATTCCTAGACTGGCTACCAAACAGGGCAGGGAAGCTTATTATTCCCGACTAGATGGAGAAAATAAATGGATTCAAATGACTCCCAATGCTAGTTCCGTGAGAGTGACTATAACGAGCACTACAGGAATTCGAACTCGGCTTCCAGATTTATCCTTCCACGACGCGAATATACCGTAATCAAATGCATTCTATTAACAAAACAAAACTATCCTGATTTAAATCCATTCCAGAATCTGTGGTCAGTCTGCAAAGAACGTCTTCGTGGAATGGAACTACTAACATGTGCACACAAAATACGAAAAAAAAATTACGGAATTATTCGTTTTGTTTCAATTAATTTACACAAGGGTGTATGCTGGTTTGACGACCACAAGAACACCATATATTATTGCCTTGCACTTCATTTGTCCGATATAAGTTCTATCGCTCATCATTTAAAGACACATTCCTGTTCCCCTTCACAATACAAACAAACACTTGTTGATAACACCGATATGCTACACAGCGAAAATAATAAACGAAAACATCAAATTCTGGACACCCTCTCTATCAAAATCAACCAACACTGAACAAAATTTATTACGAGTATAGTAGAAATGTTTTAAAATGCATTTGATTAGTGTTTAATGCCATTTTGCATTTTTACCATCTCTGCTTTGCTGCCTTACATTGTGGGCGTGTTTACAAAAAAAAAAACAAAAAAAAAAAAATAACAAAACCGTAGCTACAATGGATAAATTGAAAATTTTAAAATAAGTATAACAGCGCGCGTTCACGCAGGTTTACAAAAATTACAGCGATTACAATTACCTTAAATTTGTCTTCGCAATTGAACCCTGAGGATGATCTCGGAAGAGGTCGAAACTACTTGGGTTAAGAAAAATTACGGCAAATTTCAACTTAACATCAAGAAGCTAATTATAGAACTGGAAAGCGTTGTTATAAAAATAAATAGACATAATACGTCTATATTATTCAATGAAACATGCTTGAGTGAATATATACTGTCTAAATACACACACACAGATATATATATATATATATATATATATATATATATATATATATATATATATATATAAAAACAACAAGCTGTGATAATTTAATTCCTGGGTTTTCCATAGCAGTTACATTCGGCAAAGAGTCAGACACACATTTATACTCGAACACGTCCAATGTCCCAAGTTTCGCATTCTTAATGCATATTAGATTCGTTACTCGTTGGTTGAGCAGTAAAGGAAGTTGTACGTGTTCATGTTATATCCTGATAGCGTTTTGCAGCTGAAGACTTGATTTATGCTCTTGCGCTTCTTGAATCTGTTGACTTCTCTTTTGAAATGAATAAGAGACATTATTTTCGGAACGTCTTCATAATCCACAATGACTAATTCCTCTCCATTTTAGCCCTGGCTAAAATTTCTTGCATTTGATTTGAAATTCTTCACATGGGAGCCAAGTGTCTTCTGTTCGAAAATCACCACTGTGGCTACATCTTAAGATCCAGTATTGTTCAATTAAAATACTTGGTATTTTTTAATTATTGTTACTTCGTTTAAAACGTAGATATCAAACACTATTTTTCCCTCATATTGACTTGGTGCACAATTACCAAGCGTTTTTGTAGATGAGTTATTTGTTAATAAAACTGCTGTTTTGTTAAAATGCCTGTCAAAAATCATACGCTCCGGAATAATCATTTAAAAATGTTATTGTTAAATTGTTATGTTTTTTTTTTTCATGATAAATATTGTTTAACAAACGCTTGATAATTATGCACCAACCAAATAATTATCATTTTCTATGCTAAATCCTAAAAAAATATTCTCTCAGTATTTCAATTCAAGCCTCCTTCACCGCTAAACTCTCTTTTAAAATAACGTCTTACGACCTAAGTTTCCATTATAGCAATCCAGGATTATTTCTGGTGCATTATGGGATTACACTGAAAATCGTTGACTTAATTGAGGGCAAATAATGACTGTCATTTGTTAGTTTTTATAGAAAGAAAGAATCTAAAAAAAAAACTGGGGATGGGAAAAAAGAAAAAAAATAATTGGAGAAAGACGATTTTGTCTCGCATTGTTGACTTTGTATGAAAGGTTCAGGTGTCTAAACATACCAATACAAAGGACTATTCTTCATGAAGGCTTGATGCCGTCGTTGGGGAGTTTTTGAATAGAATGAGACGTGAAAGAAAGAAAGGAGTGCTGGAAGAAAATGTTTTTTTTAGATAAAAGTGGTGACGGTCAAAATATAGAAGTACTCTGATTGACGAGCAGGGAGGGGAAAAAAGACGTTTTTTTGTTGTTATTTTTTTTTTTTTTAGAAAGAAAGGTGAAATATGACTGATAAACAGGACGTAGAGTATGCAGAAGTGTAAAAGGAAGAATATAAAGAAATTTGAATAAGAGGAAGAATAAGAAGAATAAGCAGCTGAAGCGTAAGCTGGATGAAGAGTAACAAGAAACACGGGTATAAGACTTCCTGAACATCGAAATAAGAAAGGAATGCAATTGAAATGTCATTGTCAGTGTTATCGATCAACGTCGATCTTTTCGTCGGTATTTACTAAAGCTACGACACACGTGACAATTTAATCCCTAGAATGGTCCAATGAAACCCGTAATCATTTACTAACTCACCGTCGTCTCTAGCTTCACAATTGGTGGGGGGTCAAATCGGCTAAGAGTGACCGGGTAAACAAACAAAAGTTTTCACCAGTCGATTCCGCTAATTAAATTGACACGGTTCCCCCTTGAATCAGTTCTAAACCTGCCACGTTGTTTCTTCGTTCAGCCCTACGGGGGTAAGTCAGAAACGAGCTGATTCTTTTCGTCACCGGTGGAGGTTGACGAGCGTCCTGTTTCTTCTTCGTGCCTCACACTCGTCCGTCCAATTTTAATCTTCCCCGCCGGTCATACACATTTCTACACGTTAGTGCACTGGCGCCATATTGCGTTAAGAGCCGCCGATGAGTTTCGGACATTGACAAATCTTCAGACCAGAGATATCGGATCATTGCTCTTTTTTTTTCCTTGGTGCACACTGCTAGCGGAGCGGCCATGTTTACACTGTAACAGCAAGCAAGAAAACTGGTGCGATCAAGCTCAAACTTCAAATTCGAATCTGCAGGGAACAAGCAACCTCATAAAAGTTGGCTCGGCATTACCATCTCTCGCGCTTACTAAATCTTCTTGTCAGCGGTAGAGGTTGACTGGAGTCCTGTTCTTTCTTCGTGCGTCACGCTTATCCGACCACGTTTAAAATTCTCGATCCACTCGTACACCGTTCTACACAGTAGTGTACTGACGCCGTATTGCGTTAAAAGCCTCCGATTAATTCCAGCCCCTGACACATCTTCTGACCAGTGGCGTCAGATCACTGATCTTTTTTCCTCGTTGGTGCACACTGCTAGCGGAGCGGCCATGTTTACATTGTAACAGCAGCCAGAAAACTTGCGCGATCAAGATCAAACCTCAAATTCGAATCTGCAGGGAACGTGCAACCTCATAAGCGTTAACTTGTTGGCTCGCCATTACCATCTCTCGAGCTTACTAAATCTTCTCGCCAGCGGTGGAGGTTGACGGGCATCCTGCTCCTTCTTCGGGCGTCACGCTTTTCCGACCACTTTTAAACTTCTTGATCCACTCACACACTGTTCTACACGGTAAATGCCTACGATGAATTTCAGACCCCGACACATCTTCAGACGAGAGACATCGGATCAATGCTCTTTGTACCTCCATGATGCACACTAGTAGCGGAGTGGCCATGTTTACACTGTAACAGCAACAAAAAAAAAACTAAAAAAAAACACCGTCAATTTTTTTTAATGACATGTACGACTGTAAGTCAAAAAATAATTCGCACCTTTGTTATAACATAACTTTAGGTCGGTCACATTGCCTTCCGCACATGCGTGCTCATAGTTGGTACTATATGTGATCACGTGATCGATCTTTGAGCTTCCTTGCCTACTTGCTAGTACTGTGTGCCAAAGAGGAACAAACAGCAGTGATTCGCATCTGCAGGGAACATGCAATCTCATGGAAGTTAACTCGCTGGCTCGCTATTAGCATCTCTCGAGCTTACTAAATCTTCTGGCCAGCGGCAGAGGTTGGCGGATATCCTGCTCGTTCTTCGTATCTCACCCTTGTCCGGCCAATTTTAAACTTCTCGAACCAGACATACACACTTCTACGTGTTTGTGTACAGAGCTTGACGGAACATGGTATAGGAGAGATGGCAAAAAACAAAAAAGTTATTAAGAGCTACAGGGGAGAGGAAATTGTGGAGAGCCATGGTCGTCAACGTCTTGAAGGGTCACGGCACATAGAAGAAGTAGAAGCAAACGTTGCCGAAAAGGCAAGAACCATTACCATTTTCAGAACCACTTTTCAATATAACAGCCATAATTTTCTTTGCCCTGCAGTACGTGTTGCTGTAAAATCCAAGGACGCATTTGATCTGCCCAAACTAGTTGTAGGATTGAAAATCCTGGCAAAATCCGATGCTATGTGGCAGAGTACCATTGGAGAATCTGGAGAACATATGTTGGCTGTTTCTAGAGAAATATTCCTGGAAGATTTTCTGAAGGATCATACTATTCTTTTAGAAGTTGATGACGTCAGACGCACCGACATCGGTAGAATACGATCAACAAAAAAAAAAAAAAAAAAAAAAAAAAACAGGCTTGGTCTTCAAATGAAACTTTATCAGTCAGTAGAAATATAATCTACACAGCTTTAAAAATGGAGATCGAGAGGCACTTCCTTGTGGCGGAGGTGTTAGGAATCGCATCACGTAGACTAAAGATTACCAAATTGTTCTAAATTCCATCACATTAGCCTCCACGCAAAATCAGTGGTACCCCAACTCTCACATCTACAATTCCTTCTTCGAAAATTAAAATAACAATTTTAAATTAATTTATAATTAACAACTATAATAAATAACAATGCAAATATATATATATTTCACGCAAAAATTAATCTCGATTATATATATATATATATATATATGAAGAAATATAGTCTTAAGATGTGGTATATTTATGGGATAGTGCTCAATATCAGAGATAGAGGGTGTGTAAATATAAAAGTGAACATAGAAGTCAACACTTAGAGGCGACAGTCTGTTTCATGCTATATGCAATCGTCAGGCCTAGCATGAAACTGACTGTCGCCTCTAAGTGTTGACTTATGTTCACTTTTATATATATATATATATATATATATATATATATATATATAGGGTGTCTATAAAGTTCGTGTATACTTTAAAAAATATAACTTTATTTTTATTTGCGATAGAAATAATTTGTAAAAAGGATTAGAAAGAAGTAAATCTATATTTTTTAAGGTTTTATTGAAATTTTATTTAAGTTTCCACATGTCCTCATTAGCAATACAAAGGGTAATACGATTTTGCAGTTCACGGAAAATATTTGCCAACTGATTTACAATGATGCCTAAAATCAGAGTAGTTATTTTAGCTATACTTAAAACTAGGTACATTAAACTTTATAACATTTTTACAGCTTATTTCTATCGTAAATACAAATAAAGTTTTAAAGTGAACACGAACTTTATGGACACCTTGTATACATATATTGTCATCCACAGACTGTTTCGCTGTATCACAGCTCATCAATGTGACTAGACGTCCGGTTGCCTCTAGCTAGGATCGAAACCCGACTGAATTGGCGTCAGTCGCAGATTCTATCACTAATTCGGAATTTAAGCGTATTTATTTTTAGATAAACACGCAGCGACTGAGAGAACTCGATTCCATTTACCGAAGAGTCTTGCATTATTGTAATATACTGTTTACAAGCCCACACTTCTCCCCAGAGAGCTCTAAACTAATTTTTTCAGGAGTATATATGTTGTCATCCACAGACAGACTGTTTCTGCTGCATCACAGCTTATATATATCTTCCTGATATTAAGTATAAGAATCATTTTTGTTTCCATTTTCTAAAATGTCAGCGGTCTATGGCTCAGTATCCACTGTAGAACCAGTTTTCTGTTGCTTCAAGTCTCTTTTTCTTTGAGGAGATTGTTCAACATTTTAATATAACAGTTCATTTCCTTTTGTTTAAACGAAATTTTTCTGTTTCTTTTATATTTTGCTTAGCTTTAGGAAAGTTAGCGCCATCCCAATGCGATTTTTCGCACTTTCCGTTTGTTCAAACTTTTTTAAATGCTTGATTTTGATATCTCAGGATAATGCATTTGATGCTTAATCCTTTCTTCCGTCGACCCCTGTAGACTTTCCGTTCGCTAACAAACTCGTGTCTTATGTGGTTAAGGGGCCAATAATGAAGGCTGGTAAAATTCCTATTTATATTAATTACCACAGCGAGAAGACACATCCTTGTCTTAAACTTCTTTTTATTTCTGTAAATATTTTTTTTGTATCCTGGCGGCTTGCTGCCAGGATAGGTTCATAATTTTTCTTAATATCCTTCCTAAACGGCATTTTAGCACTCGAATTTGTTGTTTTTTAAATTTATGATAATTATTACAGTGTTCGACCCCCGACTGTTGTCTTGATGGGGTCCTTTATATTAAAAGCGTTTTTTGATTTATTTTGCTTTGTCGCTTTGCCAACAATAAAGGATTTTATGAATTGTTCGTGTGTTTACTGCTTGTCTTGATTCATAAAAAAATATATAAGTTCATATATATATATATATATATATATATATATATATATATATATATATATATTTACAAATGTTCGTTTTGGATTAGTAGAGAATGGGTGTTGATTAAATGAAATTTGAACCGTGATGAAGGAACCGAAGAAAGTATGATCGAATAAAAAATAAGGGAAAAAGACAACCAAAATGGAAATAATTTGTAGGAAAATTAAGAAATAGAAGCAAAAGAACAAAACAGAGAGATTAATGGTTATTTTCCGAGCGTACTTTAAATGTGGCACAAGGCCGAAATTAGGGGGGCACCCAGTGAGAATCGAACTCGCTACTCAGACGTAATTGCCCTAGCAAGACAAGCTTGCTAACCATTGCACAATCTCGAGGTTCCCAAGCAGAGAGACTAATACATAAGACAGGCAGAAACGGAAAGAGAAAGTGGGAGGAAACAAACTGAGAGAGAGAGAGAG